AACCTTGACTCTCGGAATGAAACATGGCATAAGATGATTCCTTCGGATAATGACCAAACAACCTTAGAGAAACCTTGAACCTCAGATGGAGACCCTTGGATACTCCTCCCAGCATCGCCACCTCAAACTTAGCGAAGTCGTCCAGAACGTCATTTTATTGATGGGAACCTTATGAACCGAACTGACGCAATCACCTTGCATTTGGAGAATCGATCCACAACCTCATCCTCTTCTGACGCGTCAGGAATCCTTTGCATATACTCAAATAGTAGCTCCAACAAATCCATCATATTTATAGAACCTTCCTACCCAAAAAAGGAACATCTCGATGCATCCCCGGGTACACCCGATTTCTCAAATCTACACCACATATTCCACTTGTGACATGGCCTTCACCTTGGCCATCGAATTAAAAGAACAATCGAATCTAGAACATTCTCTCGCTGCGAAAACAGAGATGATTTACTGCGAACCAAACTTTTACCATCTTACAGCAAAACCCGATTAGGAGAACACCATCTCTTTTGACTGAAACACATCCAGTCTCTATTCCCTCGAGCACGGAAGACTGGAAAAACACAATTTCATCATAGAAAATGACATCCCTATGGACTGAGCACTCAACCTCAGGCTGAAATCCTCTAACCGATCATCACAATCGCTTCCTTCCTGAGACCCGCGACTTAAACTAGCACTACCTTGAGCAAGGCCCTCGAGACATTAGAATCAAACTCACACATGTCTACACCATTTAGACCTAAACTGCCACGGCCACTAAAGCACGAATAATTACCCGACTCATCCTCAGAATGAACAACCATAACCGACAGGCCGATAAAGACGGAAACACACTAAAATGAATCATCGTGGCTACCATGTCATCTACCTCCAACTAGCTCCTTAGAAACCTTTTCGACTCTTCCTTATCCCCATATGGATCATGTGCTTTCTGTAGTACAGGTCCATACTACCTTCCACACCTATTCGTATGTGTCCTAAGAATTGCCTCAAAGTTCCTAAGTCACCACACCCGTCCACTACCAACCGCAGATACACGTGCTCCCACAAGTACACACAATTGATCTCCCAAGACTCTCCCTCTAGAATTCTTCTCACACGTGTGCATGCACTACAACAACTTAACACTTCTCTTAGGTCACTAGGAACTCCACCACTTCTAGGTGTACCAGCATACCCATGTGCTTAGAAAATCCACCACAAACTTCCTATATCCTCACCTTATCCTTCCGCATACGTAAGTGCCCAAACTATCACATTCTAGCACTCTTCGTAAATCACTAGGAATTCCACCCCACCCTGCTTTCGTCTGCGGAAGAGACTTCTACCAATGTCAACTAAATCTCTTACGAATACAATTACATGCAACAAATATTAAACAGGCCTTCGACTGAAAGATCCTGCACTACAACGGTTGGACTCAAACAAGAGCTACATAATAGGGCCAAATCAAACATTCTAAAAATATTTAATCTTCTTGGCATGCAACTTAACGTATTTTCTTGATAGTTAACTAACATCAATATTGGTTTCACATAGCACAAAGCAAGCAACACTCGAGCAGAAAAAACAATAGGCAATAAGGCATTATATGGATCATGCAATCCTATCACATGATTCTTGAAGATCCTTAGCCTACACACAATCATGCATCTCTAACAGCTCACATAGCACACATAGAAAGGCATCTCTCCTAAGCAGTCACTCAAACATGCAACCCAGAGTAGATTTTTAGCCTAACTTATAGCATACACATCATATTATAACACATATAACAACAACTCAAATAAAACATATAAAGCAAGTATGGATATTTTGGGAGACTAATTTCTCGAGCTCTGGTTGACTGTACACATCGCATCTTCTCTTTTCTTCTCTTGAAATGAATCTTTTTCAAAAGGGTTTATAAAAACTCTCAGATCCATATTTTGAGTTTGGAATTCCACGAGTGCTCATCCAAACCTCTCAAACCAGGGCTCTGACACCAACTTGTAACGTCCTAATTTCCAGAATAAATTTTTCATTTTTAAAATAAATACCTATTTTATTAAAGTTACATTCAAGTCAAACCAGTAGCTCATGAACTATAATTAAAAATCAGAATTATAAGGAAGACAATGTCGAATCTCAAATTGTAAAACTGTTGATGCGTCTGTAAAGTCTCGCCTTCGCAATCTGATAAGTACTTGAAAAACATTTAATCTACAATTGTAAGCACAAAGCTTAGTGATTTCCCCAAAATATCACATACAAGAGTTATCATCAGCCCTGGGGACTATCATCAATCCCAATGGGCTAACAGCACGCCCTGTAGACTAGCAGCACGCCATGTGGGCTAACAGCATGTCATGTGGGTGATCAACAACCTTGGGTACTATCAACAGTCCCAATGGGCTAACAGCACCGCCATATTGGTTATTAGCAACCATGGGGACTATCAACAGCCCCAATGGGCAAACAACATGCCCTACAGCTATCAGCAACTCAGTAACAGATAACAACAATCAGCATATAAGACTCAGCTCGTCAGCATGCACACATTATGGCATAAGTATTATATGAGAAGACTCACCTGAACGAAGAGCTGATATCCACTACTCTAAAACCTACAGAATCAGCTACACGAACCTCCTAAACCAATCACAAGCTAAATCTCAAACTAAAGCTCAACAACTCTCCAAGTTTGACCAAAAGTCAAACCAGTCAAAGTCAATCTCAGGTAACCCCCACGTCATGGCCACCTATTAGCCACGTCGTGGCAGCTTGACGACAAAACAATTGCATTGGCACCATCCATCGCGTCGTGACAAGCAGACTGTCATGTCATGAAAGCTAAACTCTCACAGCTTAATGGGTTAAGCTCTTAATCCTTCAAGCCACCCATTCATACTTTCCAGAAGGCTTTCTTACTTCTATTCCAACATAAAAATCATAGTTTTACAGACATGCATGCCCAATGCAAGTATAGAACTCAAACTAGGTCAAAATGGAGAATTAAGGCCAAAGTCTCATGCATGGAGCTCAATACACAATCAAACTTCAGATCCAAAAGATATAGAGACCAAGGGACCAAGGTGAGCTATAAAGTTGAAAACTTTATCTCGTGTAACCAACTCAAAATCGAAAATGAGCCAAGAAATACCATAAATCCTAGATCTATAGTGAGAGAACCAAAAAGGTGGAAGCTTTATACCTTCCCAAGCTCCACAATATGCAGGAGATGCAAGATCCGAAGTGATACACTCTTCAAACTAGCAAGCACACCTTCTTCATCAAGAGCTAAAATGACCACAAAGAGTTTACAAGGTCAAAATGAAGGTCAGGGTTTCTTGGAAGGTGAAAGGGAGGTGATGGAGGTTGAGGGTGTGTAAACCCTAGCCCTCGCTTCCCCTTAAATAAGGGTACAATCCCCGGAATTAGTGTTATGCCTACAAGCCGCCGCCATGTCATGACCATCAGCTTGTCATGTCATGGCACACAATATTGATGTGCACTCACACAGCTATTGCCACGTCGTGGCATAGGGTTTTTTCCTAAAAACCCCATCTTTGATACTGTTATCATTAGTTGATTCGTTCTGGATAACGGATGTTACAGTCTCCCATTTCCAAAAAAGAATAGTTAATTCACATAAAGAATTAAATAAAACAAGATTATAAGTAAAACAATATATTATGGGACATGTGCTCTTAGTCAGTGAACCCACCTGAAGCTAGTAGGTAATATTCTAATAATTTCTTCTAAGTATTGAAGTATTATAGAACAACTACACACGAATATTTAAACCAATAACAATCATCACACAACTTAACTTAAACTATCAAATTAAATAAAAAAAAGTCGGGTGTGCAAGATCTTTCAACTAAATCTACAATGCCTTAGATTCATGTCTCCGTTGACACTCCTTTTTTTCCGTTCGACAAGGCCTTATAAACCCTTCGGTGAGGCCTTTAGTTTTTCATAATTAAGCACTTTTTTTGGTTTTTGCCTATAAATCATTAACCTAACCAAGTCATGAATCAAACGTATCATTTTAATATTTTAATTAAGGCTTAAGAATCAAACATTATCACTAAATTGAGTTTTCACTCATGTTGTGCATTGAGATTGATCCAACTTAACTTCTTAAATATTAAGATCTCGATAACCTCATTAGTTTTAAAATCTAATGATTCTGTGTTTGTTTTATCAAAGATTAATGGATTCAATACTATGACTTTGATTTAAATCATAAGTCATGCATCCAACTTATATCATTTATTCCAAGCTTATGATTCAATAAGATTTTATAAATCAAATGGTTCATTCATGAGGTTTGGGTTTTGAAGCCAACATTAAGTTTCCAAAACCCAATTTTGAATTTGTGTATCAACTTACATCATTAATTATTAGTGTTACATACTTAGAATTCAACACAAAAAGGTTGACGTAATCATGAATTTCATCATATTGGATTTTAATAAGTTAGCAAAATCTAGGAAGCTTAATCTAATAAGATGGACGTAATTGTTGCCTTGTAAGCTTCTTCTTCAATGATTAAGTGTTAAAGCTTTAGTAGAACTTCAGTTCTCATTCCATTTATGAATTCTCTACCAATATCACATTTGTCTATCCATTTCATGCTCCAATTTCTCCAAACACGGGAGAAGAAAGAGATGGGGGCTCTAAGATGCAAAATTTCACCAATTAATGTTTTATCATATAATATTTTTTTATCAATAAACAACACAACGGTTATTGCCATTGTAGAATATTAAATCAGATTACCAAACTATATATTCGTGTTCTTCTACAAAAAAATCGCTCAAAATTTTTTAAAATGATAAAATACTCGTGATATTAGTTTATTTTATGCAAAACATAAAAATGAAATATTTAACTATTTAACATAAAGGAATGGTATTACTGTCAATGGTGTGTACAATCATGTGTAAATTATCACCTAATTTGGAGCATAAATTAAGACATATTTTAATTTTCAGTTACTTGGCTCCGGAGTATACACAGACCGGTTTGATTACTGAGAAAGCCGATGTATATGCATTTGGAGTAGTCCTGTTGGAGATCCTATCCGGCATTAAGGCTATAGAATTCTCAAGAACCTCTAGGCAGCAATATTTTCCTGAATGGGTAAGAATCTATAGTAGCATGTATTACCTTCTTACCAATCTATCATACAATTGAGACATTAGTGACTTTTTACTTTTCAGGGTCGACGTTTATTTACTGAGGGAAAGGTATGCACGGAAATGATCGATCCAAAGTTAGGAAAAATGTATGATGTAAAAGAAGTAGAATACATGATACATGCAGCATGTTTATGTATATCACCTCAACCCGAACAAAGGCCAAGGATGTCTAAGGTTAATACTTCATTCATAAACTATTTACATAATATTCATGATAACTTAAAGCAGTTTAACTTTTGAAAGTCGGACCTAGTATTTTCTACACAAAATTGGATTAGAAATTATCAAAAAATCAAAGTGTAGGAGTCAAATTACTTTTGTTGGTGATTTTAGTGTCGCTTATCTATTTAGTTTCAATTAGAATCTCATACAAGTTAAGTGGTGTGGAGTATGCACTTGTATAAGAGGAATGCAATCCCAAACACAATGAATTGCAGGGTTAAAGGGGTTGTGCCCCATTGTAAGGTAAAGGGGCAGAGCCCCTAGCTCGCTGTGGAAAAACATAATCATAATAAAAGAATAAGGAGAAAGAGATTGCTTTGGGATTGAGTAGGGACAACTTAGGCTACCTGACAACTTAAGTTAACTAGTAACAACCCCAGTTGCCTTGGACATTTACGATTAGTTTTGCCTAGAGTCGTCAAATGGGTTTTCCATAAAATTGCTATTAACTGTTTTAAACCGGTATTTCGTCAATATTATCCAATTTTCGGTGTGTGTGTGAGAGAGAGAAAGATTTGGGTTCAAATAAGAACATTTATTAAATTGAGAACGCGAGAACAAATCTTGACCACATATTTTTTTCCGCAAAACTTTCATACGTGAATATAAACCACCGTCACCATCGCAACTAACGCAGCCATCATTGGGTCACATATTTCTTTTGCTGCAAAACCCTCTAGCGTACCGGCACAATGGATTAATATAATATTCATATCTAAATAAGTATATGAATATATATATATATATATATATATATATATATATATTCATATATAAATAAGTATAAGCATATTCTCAAGTGATTATTCATATAGAAATATATATATATATATATATATATATATATATATATATATATATATATACTTATTCATATATGAATATTATCTGTCCAGTCGTTCCGTTACACTGGAGTAGTTAAGCGGCATATTTCAATATGCGAGAATATACTTACTTTTATATTCATATATGAATATTACATTCCTCCATCACGTCAGTACATTGAAGGGTTTTGCGGCAAAAAGAAATATATGGCCGAGTGGTGGTTACGTTAATTGCGGTGGTAGTGGTTTATATTCACACATTAATATTAAGTTTTTTTGTCGCATCGGTATGTGGGATGGTTTTGTAGCAAAAATAATATGTGGCCCAAATTTGTTCTAACGTTCTCCTTTTCAATTTTCATAATAGTTCTCATATATATATATATATATATATATATATATATATATATATATATATATATATGGGTTAGGTTTATTTGAGACCACTAAATTTTGTGAGGCATCTGGATGCAATCCTAATTATTCATTTTGAAGATTAAAAAAATATTTTTATAATACAAAATAATTAAAAAATTTTGAAATTTTTGTTTTTAAATATTATTTTCTTCATTCATATTTTCCAAAAATAATAAATAAAATACCGTTTTTTTTAAATATCTGTAAAATATTTTAACAATATTAACTACTATACAAATTACAACAAAATTGTTAGAATATTCTTATATACTACTAGAATATTAGACTACAAATATTTAAACATTTCTAATAAATTATTAGAATATTATACAAATTTTAACAATTTTAATAGAATATATTTTAGCATATCTATAAATAAAAATAATAATAAAATCAAATCAAATCACCCTATTCCTTTAATTTGAAAAGGGTGCAGTTTTGACCCTCAAATACAAAGAGTATATAAATCCAAAATATCTTTTTGATATTCGTGTTTCATGTTTTTGGTTGTTACAGGTATTGAGAATTCTGGAAGGTAATTTTCTTGGTGAATGGCTTGATAATGGTCAAGAACAATCTACCACCACCTTCCTAAAACCAAGTTTAGAAAGCTATCACTCAAGCACGGATAGACTATCAATGAAGCTAGAAAAAGGTCAATATCATAAGCCAACGCGCGCTTTAACAAAACTAAGTTCAATTGCACTCAGATTGGAAAATCACCAAGATACGATATTCAAACCGACAACATCTCCACAAAAGCATGTGACCAGTGATGAATATCAAGAATACTTGCAAGGGTCATTCCAGAAACATATCCAGAGGTTGAACATGAAGTTGTAAAATTAAGTGCATGTAAAATCTTATTTGACCATGATTTGTTATTATTTTATCAATAAATAATTTCATTGATTCTTATTATATAACATTTTCGAAAATTTTCATTAGTCTAAATTTCCTTTTTCTCCACTTTTAGTTCCAGCAACAAAATATGAGAGTACAAACAAATATAAAAGTTTTTACATATAAACTTGTACCAACAGTGAGTATATGAGTGCATATACTTAGGGAACAAATTAAGTGAACAATATTTTTTTGGAAAATACTACTTTACAAGCATGTAGCCTTGGCGTGGAAATAAATGTTTCTCAAACATTATTCATCTTGCAAGATTTCCATTATTACAGGTGTATATATATATGTGTACGAATATATCTATATATAGCTTTACATACAACTCAACGATTTCCCTAATGGGTATATAATATCCAGCCAAGATTCAACCCTTCCATGGTAGTTAACAAGCAAACCAGATCATGAGGATTATAGTGTAGTTTATGTGTCGAAAATAAACACACAATGCAATCGCTTAGAACTCAGAAAAGTCGGTATCCCAGTTCTCATAATCATCATCATCTTCATGATTTGGCAACGTGAATCTTACCCTTGGACCTTGCTGGGCTTTTGCTTTATTCTTTTGGTTCCTTTTTAAGCATGGCTTCAAACCGGTGGCAGTAGTAGCCTTTCTACTAGAAATATCGTTGCTAAATTCTACTACTCCGCCACCTTTTTTGCGTGAAGGGAAACAACCCGATGCAGCAATGGAAGCTTCATCAGAATCACACTCTTCATCTTTGGAAACGAAATTGGACCCCTTTTCCTCGAGAGAAATATTAGCAACCTGTCTTCTTGGTATGACTTTTACCTCACGATTACCTTGTTTCTTGTTTTGAAAATTTTCAACAGGAACTATCTGGTGGAAAAAAGAAGTATCAATCTCCTCCATCTGACGAAGGGTTTTGTCTGAAGATTGTCTAGTGAGCCTCCTATGAATGTTTGGCTCTACCATAGACTGATCACCTTCAAATGCGTGTTTTTCGACACCTTCATGATAATCAGGTGGGTAGTGGGGGCGAAAACGGTAGCCTTTAGACTGAAGCAAACGATGGATGGTATGGTAGGGAACAATGAAAAAGACTCTGCCAGGTTTCAGAATTGACTCAGGCTTAACCACGATATATGGAAACTTGAACACATCAGGTCTGGTGACACAGTGTCTTGGGTGTTTTGCCATGACTTGAGCTGCTTTTATGGGGTGTTTGTATAGTTCAACTATACCACCTGGGCGTACAAGTTTTAGGACGCCATTTTCCTTACTAACTATCCCCATTCTTTTACTTTTTGCTAACCCACAAGTCTAGAAGAAGAAAAAGAAGAAGGATGAGAACTAGATTTCATTCCTTTTTATGTTAATGTTCTCTTATAAAGACATATTTGGGTGGCTGATTTTACTATGTTGATAATCATTGAACCAACCGAAGGAATTTTTATATTCTGAACATTGGTTTTAGTGTTTGTCTTGTAAACATTGATTATAGTGTTTTGTCTTGGTACTGTGCCCAGGCCGGGTCAATACCCCGGCAATGATGTTTATCCCAGTTATTGAAAAAAATCATACATATCATAGCGGAGTCCGAATGGTAAGATTCTCATTGAATATATATAGAATCTTATTAATCATTTCTGACGAAAGTTTTCAAAGTTGAATTTAAAAGATTATTTAAAGTTATCGATATCAAAATAAAAAAAATATTAAATGATTTGATTATTTTATATATAAATAAATACATATTAGACGAAATTGATCTTCATATATACTATTTTTTATAATGGCAAAGTAAATCGGTTTATCGATTTTCTACTGCATAATTGAAGGAAGGTGAGCTACCATTAAAGTTATCATGGTTGGGAAGTTTCTTTGTTATGTTTCTCAAGGATATGTTAGAATCCTTCCTGGTCAAGAAGAATTCAAGGATTGGTCAGATCGTGAGTGAAGAGCAAGTTACCGCCAGGTTTATGTCTTCAGGGAAGCACGTATTATCCTCACATCAGAAGTTGTTGGGCAAGGAACTTATTATAGTTAGTAGTTCCTTTTGGAAGCGTCGGGATTGTGTTAGAGGAGAGTTTGAGTCGATCAGGTAGTGTACTAGATATAGAGAACATGGTTAGCTCGCGGTATGGGTCGGTTATCTTTGTTCAAGAAGGCAAATGGTTGATTTGTTGATCAACTTCAGAGTTTGGTATGTGTATTTTTGTATGGGACTCATTCAACAGTATACGAGATAGGTGGTTTTAGTTTGTCGATCCATTTTCAATCGATCGGTCATTCTGTTCTCGTCGGTATCTGGGGTCGTTCGAGGGTTTTCGAGCAGTAATAGTTGAAAGTGCAGTTGGTGCGTCGACCCTTCATCAAAGTGTTGTCAGTTGTATCTGTGTTTCTAGGTGTGTGTACCCTTGGTTGTTTGGTTGTGGGTTCTTTGTTTTTGGTATGCTCATATTTGGTGATTGTCTTTAGTTAGTGAAAGTACGGATGTTCCAGCGACGTTACTCAATTTTCCGGGTGTGACCTTGGGTCTAGATAGAACTCAATTTTGGATGTTTCATCTTCACGGTTACAATTTATGGTCGATGCGACCATTTTTATAAAAGCATTCTCGAATAATTTTGGAAGTTTTTATCATATTAATTACGCACTGGTGGAATCTGCTCAATTTAATTTAACGTATGGGTCTTGTTTCGGTTAGCAGTTGAGTTTTGTCATATCGTCAGATCCACCTATACTTCACCTTATGGGTAAGGTTGTAATGAAGAAGGAATGCAGTGAATCTGGGGTTGGTTGTGTGTTCTCATTAGGGGTGTGTATTGTGGTAGTTCATCTAAAATTGTTATGAGGATTTCAGGTGGATTGAATAAGATAGCCTGAGAATACTTAGTCTGGATTTTTGGTATGGTTCTCATCTAATTTATTGCTTCGATTTGAATCAAGCATTCTAATGTTAATCTCATCTTTTGGTCACGTGCAATCATGTTGTCATCTAGTGTTGTGTCGGTGGCAGTCTAGACTGTGGTGGGGTTTGTGTGGTGTAGAATTGTATGGATTGAGTTGCATTAGGCAGGTGTTGGAAGGATGTCGAATGGGTTCCTAAAGGTTTGTGGGATGATGGTTGTGTGCCTATAGGCCCACTAATGTGTTGGTTGTGATTTTCCATGCTCGTGGTGGGATGATGGCAAGAACGGTGTAGAACCATGAGCTTCTCATTCTAATGATTGGATGGTGTCACGACGTACTGTGAATCATCGTGGATACGATTTATGTGAATTAGACCCGAAAGTTGTGTATTGGAGACTCGTGTGTTTGGTGCGTTAGTCTTTTGGCATAGTTGGATGTTTGAGTAGTATAGTGTAACACCGTAAATTTTCAAACAAATTTTTCATTTTTAAAAATCACATAATTCTCATAGCACATCTCACAAAATCTCATTTATTTAATTTACAACGCAACTCCATAATTGTTTGATTAATAATCCAGGATCCTCAAAACATAACTCTTTCTCTGGTGTGTACAATCAAGCTGGCTCCTTCCCGCGATCCTGAGAAAAACCTGAAACACATATCACATAAAACGGTAAGCACGAAGCTTAGTGAGTTCCCCAAAATACCACACATATCACAGTAGCCTCTCATGGCTATACTTAGATTAGACCCTCCGGTCAATGTGTCTCAGTGGAACCCTTCGGTCCTAAAACTCGGGTGGACCCTCCGGTCCTAACCTCAATAAGCTCATAATAACAATATTCAGCATAAATCACAAAGACATAATGCAGAATATCATAATACACAAATAAGCACATAAGACATCTCAGTCACACAAGGATACCACTCATGGTAAGTATAGTGAGAAGACTCACCTCGGATGAAGAACAACCCCTATAACGCTGCTGCTACGCATCGGCCTCTAACTCTGAGACAATCCACAATTAACCTAATTAGGAACTAAGTCCAAAATCTCACTCATTAAGTCTAAAGGTAGTCCACTAACCAGCCCATCAATAACCTATAACCCATTGGGCCCACCAAGGCCCAATAATAAATGGGCTCTCCCGAGGCCCAACTCTCAAGTCTAAATGGCAAGCCCAACTTAAGGGCCCAAAGCACCTATACATAATCCTCTGGTCTGAAACTCTATTGCAACAAGCCCAAACTCCAGGCCCAACACTCAAGACCCAAAATGAGACTTAGCCTAAAAGTCCACAGTGAGGTTACGCGGGGCGTACCTCTCTTGGTACGCTCAGCGTACTCACGAATCCAGATTGGCCATCGGGGACACTGGGGCAGTACGCGAGGCGTACAGGATTTACGCTCAGCGTACTTCCCAGATTCACTTTTCTACTTATTTGGTCTTAATTAGTTAAGACATCAACTCAAATCCCAGATCTGGACTCCCTAATGGCTCTTACTCCATAAATTCAGTGACTTTAAGCCTTTGCATGGCTGAGAAGGTCACAAACACCCAAAACACTCACTCTCTTATCTCAAAAAGCTCATAACTCATGCATGGTTTGATTCCAACGTCCAAGACCTCATTTTTATGGATCCTCTCCACTAGAAACACTTTAAAGGACAAACATTAGGCTCTGGAGTGCAACAACTCATAAAGCTTCAAGCTTTGGGACCAAAAACCCTAAAATGGACCATATCATGCACAAATCAAAAGGATGAGAAAGCTTTGAGCTTTATACCTTCAAATGATGCTCCATCCACAGAAAAGCTCAGATTCAAAGCCTGAACTCCAACTCTATTCTCTTCCACGCTCCTTCTTCACTCCAAAAATCTCACAAGAACACTTATAAGCTCACAATGGACACTCAAGCTCAAAGAACGAGAACTAGGGTTTTGAGAGAGTTGAAATCTGGAAATGGTGGTTGGATATGAAGACATAATGTTCCTTAAATAGGGACACTCCAAAATATTAGGGTTTCTTTTTGGACCTAGTACGCCTAGCA